GATGCCTCTACAAACCCAACCTCGACTCCTTCGGCATCTTTGGAACCAATGAGTACGTCTAGTGACCTAGCGGCAGCGGCAGCTATGGACACATACTCAGCCCCTCCTCAACCTGCAGTTCCTTTCCCGACACACGATCCTCCACATTTCAGTGCTCACCGCCATGCACACTTTACCGCACGAGTGGTTCATCAGATTCACTTCAAGATCTTTACACACTCCAACAACGAACGTGAGCTATTTATTGAGGAGATACCAACTTCGGGAATTTCTAAATGTCGAGATCCTGAACACTTCTTCTATGGCCTCTCGGGAAATTGGGAATGGTCCTTGCAAACTGCAGATTATTGGCGCCATCATTTTGAAATTCCTCTACTACATGGGAACAATCCTTTTCGCAACGTAGCCATTGAGACGACTCCATCGCCAGACGAAGCAGGACATGTCACTACTATCCCGGCTTTGGCCAGGCAGTTATCGGATTCACTGACGGCAGCTACGGCATCTGGGGAACTTAGCGACCCATGGAGAATGGTGGCACACATGAGCTTCCACGACGCGATCCAAGTTCTGCAGCAAGCTTCGAGCTTAACTTCTGAATAGACTGACAGCAGCCTTGTCAGTCACAATTTCGAAGGTTCACAACAATTCGTGCATCGACACGTAAGACCGCTATATTCTTCCAAAAATGAAACCCTGCTTTGGCAGGGTGTGTGTGTGTGACTCATCTGTAGAGATGTAAAACTTCGACGTTTGTTCGTTTTTTTTATGCAGGGGGCATGCGGCCATCATGCAAACGCATGCCAACGAAGCTATGCATGATGGTGGAAGCCGGGGCTGATCACCCTGGTGTACCTGCATTGTTGTGACTACCTGTTGTTCAGGGTTTGCTTCCATTCAATTGTCAATGTCTGGTGATGGGAAGAGGCTCAACCGAAGAACCTCCAAGTCAATTTTATTTCTTCACGGTTGCCACAATCTGTATTTTCGCCGAAGCCATGTCGCCGATGTATTTTGCTCATTTCGCCGAAACCACATCGCCGATTGTATTTTGTTTTTTTCGTCAATATCATGTCGCCAATGTATTTTGATGACGTTTTTGGACATGGAGACCATGCAGGAGAACTTCTATTATTTGAAGATGCATCGTTGATTTCTTTGTTTCCTATCTAATCTGCATGTTTCAGGATTCAGTTCCTGCCGGATCACTCAAATGATCCATTCTTGTCTAGTGTGTGTGTGTTGGAAAGCTGTGACGTTTGATTTCACAACACTTACACAACACATCAAGCCTGTTACCATCCAGTAAAAGGAACATAGGTGTGATAGCTATGGAACATGGCCCATTTAGATCCATTTAGTTGGATGAATAACCTATGTGATTTTCCATGGCCACCTGGGTGGCCTGGGTGCTGTTCCCTAGGTTTGAGATTTGCAAGGAACCCAGCACTGATGCCTTTGGCAAAGCCACAAAGGACAGAACTTTTGCTGCTTTTCTTGGCTGCAGGGTAGTCAGTAGTTATACTTGTGTGCAATCATCCTGCTTGATCAAAGCTGTACTGTCTATAGATATGTATGCATATACATACATACATACATACATACATACATACATACATACACACATACATACATGCATGCATGCATGCATGCATACATATATACATACATACATAATTATATATAATATAATATGATAATATAATATAATACAATGCGATGCAATATAACATAATAATATCATATGACATAATATAATACATAATGCATAATACATAATATATAATATTTAATATACAATATATAATATATACTATATAATGCATAATGCATAATGTATACAATATCGCACTGTATAATATATTTTAATATATAACATATATTTTTATATAATGTATAATAAATAAAATACAATATATAATACGTAATATGTAATATGTAATATATAATGTGATATATAAGTATGCACGTACTTTTTCATGAGAACCCTCCAGTAGCGCAAGTAGTAAGTTCCCCTGACCAACATTGTCACCTTTTTTCAGGAGGTGTACAAGGAGGCCCGGAAGGTTGCGGTGGCGGCGATTTTGCACACGGACAATGCCAACCATTTCGCCATGATCAAAGACATCAGCCAGGTTTATGAGGCTCATGACTCCAGTCAGCAGTTTTCCTAAGGCTGCTAAGGCTGCTAAGGCTGCTAAGGCTGCTAAGGCTGCGAAGGAAGGCCAGGTGCCAAGGGTCGCTTACTTTTTTCTTTAAATGTTCCGAAGCGATGAGCCAGACATCGCACACACACACACCCGCGCACAGACATGTATATGTATATATATATATATATATATATACATATACATATACACACACACATATATATATATATGTATATCTATATCTATATGTATATGTATATGTATATGTATACATGCCCCTGGATGGATGATTTGCGGGGAGGGTATCTCCCCAACTGATTGTAGCTACATGTTGGTACTTCTGGCTACCTTGCTGGATGTAAATTGCTGTAAACACTGGCCAAGGGATTGCAAGACATGAGACACCCATTCAAAGGGGGCTGCGCGCCCACCATTCACCCGACTTGCACAGATTCTCAGCAGATAGATAATGATAAATAATGACAGATCAGATCATCATGGATTAAGAAGCAAGGACAGAAAGACACACTTTCAGATTCATGATTGATATACTGTATTGATTTTCGATTCATAATGATAGCACTGGTAGATTGATGTGTTGGTAGGTCAATAGTTCGATAAGCAGGTAGAGTGATAGACCAATCGCTTCATCGATAGATGGATTATTTCTTATTTATTAAATCCGTTGAGTGGTGGATGGTAGACTGGTAGGTCTCGAGTTTGATACTTGTTTTCGCAAATAGGCAAAAAGTAATTTAACATAGCTCAGCTACCGGGAAAATCATCGTGTTTAGCAGGTAGATCATGGTAAATAATCTATAAACGGGCCATGTTCCATAGCAAACTGTTAAATTACTAGAGAGGTCGATGTTGAACAGGTTCCACTGTTGCGATCTTTGCAGATCTTGTTTTGGAGCAGGGTCCTGAGAGGAATGAAGAGATTAAACGTGGCTCAAACATAAATATAGTTAAATATCATTGGCATTCATTATAACGGTAATTACATATATACCTGCCACATATAGGGGTCTCGGTAAGATTTTGCCCCAACCAACTCCAGGATTTTGAGGATGAATTTCACTGACCTTGCTGAACTGAGGAAGCGACTTGCGAGAAACAAGCAGGACTCATTCTGGGGTGTGTTAGCTTGTGTCGTGTTGTGCTGTGCTATGTTGTGTTGTGTCCCCCAGCGGCTTTGAAATTACTGTAAAATAATTAGCGTGGATGCCAACCAAAGAGCATGGGAATGTTCCACCAACAATCAATAAGGGTATGAACAGCTGGAACTTGGGATATCGACCACCAAAAGTTGTCGTCGAAATGAATGGGTGTATTATGGTCACCCACGAACAATCTGGCTGGTGGTTTTGACGATTTTCTGAAATTTCAGCATTCCTAACTGGAACTATGACCCAATTGCAAATCTTGAATTTCATTTTTTCCACCATGTTTGCCATATCAAGAGGTTGGATCAACCCCCAGCTGCCTTCAGGATCCAGCGGGATGCTGACGGAGTATCGGGACAAGATCCTTGAGCCGAATAGGCGCGTGGCGACATGAGGTCATGGCATCAGTGGCTATTGTTGGTACCCAGCTATAACCGAAGGAAGTTTAGAAGTCAAACTTTCGACAATATAGACAGATGAAAAGCAGAGATGGGAAGAGTCAGAGAGAAGAGAAGAGTAAAAGAGAGAAGAGCAGAAGAGAGAAGATCAGAGAAGAGAAAGAGTCAGAAGAAAGAAGATGCAGGTGCGCGAAAGGTGCGCGAAAAGGTAGGAAAGTCGCGAAGCACTGTGTTTTTCCAATGATTTGTGGCTCCGGAGGGTCGAAAAGTAGGCTCGCTAAAGCGGCGGGTGCGGAGCCATCTGGCCAGATGAGAGATGAAAAATTGCACGCCGTTGTGGCGCGAAGCACATTTCCAAGTCAAAATGTACAAAACACCACATGCTCGGACCACTTTAGGAAATTGCTATGTCGAAAAAGTGCACGCCGTTGTGGCGCGAAGCACATTTGTAAGTGAAAACGCTGAAAGCACCTCAGCCTCGGAGCACTTGTAGAAGTTGCGATGTCGAAAAAGTGCACGCCGTGGGGGCGCTAAGCACATTTCGAAGTCAAAATGTGCAACAAACACCAGGTTCGGACCACTTTTGGAAGTCAAAATGTTAAAAGCACGAGGGGTTCGGACCACTTTTAGCGTTCAGATGTCGTTGCGCGTGGCAGGCACAAGGGATTGTGCACCTTGTCAAAAGTGAGCAAAATGCGACGGTTTTGTAGCATTTTCAACTACAACCACCACAACACCACACTACACTCCAATACGCTACACTACAACTACAACTACACCTTCACTACATTCCATTACACTACACTACACTCCACTACACTCCACTACACTCCACTACACTCAATTACGCTCAATCACACTCAATTACACTACACTACACTACGCTACACTACACTCCACTACACTACACTACACAACAACTGCAACTACAACTGCAACTGCAGCTGCACTACAACTACATTACATTACACTACACTAATGACACTACATTGCACTACATCACACTAACTACAACTACAACTACATAAGACTACACGACATTACACTACACTACACTTCACTGCGCTGCACTACACTACACTACACTACGCTACACTACACTACACTACACGACACCTCACTAGACTACACTCCACTACACTACACTACCCTACCCTACCCCACGCTACGCTACGCTACACAACACGACACGACACGACAGGACACGACACGACCACGACCACGACCACGACCACGACCACGACCACGACCACGACCACGACCACGACCACGACCACGACCACGACACTACACTACACCCACTACACTATGTACAACTACAACTACATCTACACTACAACTACAACTGCAACTGCAGCTACAACTGCAACTACACTAAACTATTTGCATGACACTACGCTACACTACGCTAATTGCATTACATTACACCACACTACACTACACTACACCACACCACACTACACCCAACTACGCTACACTACACTACCCTACCCCACATTGCATTACATTACATTACATTACATTACACTCATTACACCACCACAAATGCAACTGCAACTACACTACACTAATTACACTACACCATAACTACAACTCCACTACGCTACAACTACAACTACAGCTGCACTACGCCACACTACATGTTTCCTATTTTTGAAATTTCCGCCACCGCCTTGTGCGGTACTACTGGTACTTATGATGAAATGATAGATCAGTGGTGATAGATAGATAGATAGATAGATCGATAGATAGACAGACAGATAGATAGATAGATAGATAGATAATAGATAGATCTTTATTATTATAGATGTCATGTATTGTTATTTGCCATGCTTCAATATAGGTTGTATTGTGGTGATATGATACAATACAACCACTGAATGTGATGCGGGGTTAGAGCTATACTGCAAATGTGGTGCTCTTCCATCCCACTTGGGGCGTTTGGAAAGAAGAACGTGCCCACCAGTTCTGACCGGCGGCATTCCAGAACGAAAGGATTGAAAATTTGTTGCAGGAAAAGGTTTCCCCTGAATCTCTGCAGATTTAGGCCTGCAACTCTTCTTTCGCAGAAAAATTTCAGCCAAATTTGACAGCGGTGAGGCTGTTGTGGCTGGAACTTTTTCTTCATTTGGCTGCTACTCTGTCGGCAAGCTGATTTTGGGTTTCGGTGGACCAGGTGGACCAGGTGGACCAGGTCGTTCATCTGCAAAGTGAACGATGGGGCCCGCTGCCGCTCAAACTGAGGACGTGTCAAATCCCCTAAAACCCTTCGACTTGTCCAAAACTTGGGCCATGCGGGTCTTGGATGAGTTCTTTCAGCAAGGGGAGTCTTGGCAAATCTTGGCAGTGGGGAAGAAAGATGAAGAAAAGGGAGTCAGCATGAGTCAGCCAGTTTGGCCCGGCAGTTAGTGCACCTTAGGATGAAGAGAAACAGCAGGGCCTTCCAGTTGGCATGCTAAATGACAGGGACAAGGTCAACAAACCCGGGTCCCAACATGGTTGCTTGGCAATCTGATCATATTCCCCCAGATTGAGATCACACACGGGCACAGTGCACTATCACTATATTTTCTTGATTAGGTCAGTTTATGTGATTAGGCAAACGCATGATGATACTGGATATGGCTCATATTCTTTGTTGGTTTCATTGTACGAACATGGACCCGGCAACACGTGGGTTCATATTGATGGGCCATTTTAGATTCTTAGAAACAAAAAAATATATTCCAGTTTTTGGTTTTCTCATCATCGCAGGCTTTATCACCTTCTTAGTATCACCGCTGGTGGTTCAGAGCGTCAACCTGTTCCCGGACTTCATGGACTTGCATGTTGAGAGCCTCAACTCAACTGGATCTAGATGGGCAGATGGGTGCAACATGCTGCAACCGTGCAGTGCCAAGATATAGGGAGAGGTCCTGAGAATCGACTTCACTTGCAGCAATGGGCCATGAATGTCTTTCGGATACTTTTTTTGGTGGGTTGAGTGGGTTCATTTCCTGTTTTTTTATATAAACCAGAGGATTTCCACGTACTTGGACTTTTTTTCATTCAGGATGGTAGCCAATATGGAAAAATGGCGCGACGAATGGGTCGCTGACGTGAAGCCTTCCGACGAAGAACTGGCGCCTAAGAATGCCGACATCACCAAGTTGCTCGGATGCAGGGTTTACGGTGGGTTACGGCTGAGGAATGGACGTGCACCGAGGAATGACCTGGTCTGTAACGTGGAACATATATATATATTATATATATTATATATATATATGAACATATGATGTGAAGATCCATGAAGATCCATGAAGATCCCAAATTCATCAAGTTCGATGTGCTAAGTTTTTGCCATGTCGGTTTTCCCATCCAACGGCTTGGCGAGGTGCAGAGCTACGAGTGATCGGCTGCTGGCCAGACGTGCCTTGGCCGATCTTGGCCGCGTCACTGGATGTCATGACGAGTCATGTCACTGAGGTCATGACATTCATGAAATTCCTGAAGCATGAACGACATTGGTGATGACTATGTGGCACTATGTGGCTATGGTGTTGATGATTGGTATGACGGTACTGTACTGTATGATTGTGATGATTGGATGTGATTGGTATGATTGGAATAGTCACAAAGATGGTTGTTGTAGTGTTGAGAATGATAATAGTGTATAATAGGAAAGAAGGATTACAGTATATTGCAGTATCATTCTGGGACCAGGTAGTGGGCTTCTATTGGGAGTTGTTGAGTTGTTGTGGAGCCTTTTCTCTTTGAGATTGTCTTACTCTCTTACTGACGTTCAATTGCACATGTCAGTAATTGCTAGAAATAATGATTGAGGAATCCATCTTTTTAGGCTTGCCCGTCAACATTCACCTTCTGGAAGATCCATGAAGAACGTGCATTCTAAATTGAAATGTAACCATATGTAACCTACTTTTGTAAGTTGCAGTCAGCCGTTTGAGTCTTGGAGACGTTGGCATGAACCACTTTAGGAAAGAAGAAGACACTGGTATTTCATGATTTCCCGCCCATCCGTGGAAGTGTTTGTATTTGTTGAAACTTGCTGGGTCAGCATAGCCTTAACGACTTTAGTATACTTTATCGATGTATTCAGATTGATTCAGCTTGACAGGTAAGCCACAAAAGGCCACTCCAACGGCCTCGCGTGGCTGGTCATGGAGCAATGGCATGGACACAGAATGAGTGCTGCAGCCCGGGAGCCAAGGGAGCCAAGCTCGGAGCCGTGGAAAGGCTTGGAACCAACTTCCTTGATGTGTGCGGATGGATTTAGCATGACTAAGGCTGTATCACGCACAACACTGCATGTGTGTATATGTATATGTATATATATATATACATATGTATATATATATATGTTATACCGATACCGATACCATATAGTGACCAATACTGGGGTGCAAAGGTAGAAATCACAGAATGAAGTGGAGATTGCGGGATTTTGCCTACAACCCGTTAAAACATGGCAGACACATCGATCCTTGATGGATCCATCTGAGGTGTTCAAAAGGTGTGCGCCCATATCTTCGTAGTAATCGAAGGAGGAGGCTGCGGGATTGCGATCGCGACATTGGCAACCTTCTCGTTGCATTTGTGGCCAGTTTTTTCTCAGTACATGCTAGCCGCTTAGCCGGATCTAGCGGGTAGAAACCGAAGCTTGGTTTGCTAGGAAACCTAGTATTGCATCAATTTCATTATTTTTCATTGTGCAAAGATCTGTCCTGAGTATTCGCACTGCATGTGGTTATTTAATGTTATTTATACCATATATGAGTAAGTTCTTCACACACGCACACACATATATAGTAAGTGTAGAACACTGTATGATGTATGCATGCACATGCACATTGTGCCATATAGATATATATATATATATTGATGTATAGAAGCTAAACTGATCAGTTTTTGATGGTATTTGTATCTATATGCATCAAGAGCTGACTGAGAGAGAGAGAGAGAGAGAGATAGATAGAGAGAGAGAGAGAGACGGTAGCTTTAGTTTTGTACTGGAACACGGTATGCTGGTACTCGTTGAAGTCCCATCATTCCAGCACCACTGTGCACAGGATTCAGGAGCTGAGGGTACCTGATGAGATGTTAATGGCCTTGGACCAACCCAGCAAAGCTGTGGATGTCCAATATGTCCAGCGTCACTGGGTTGATTCAAGGGAATCTTTGCGGGAAATCATAAACAGAATGCCATCAACCCAACATAACCCAACAGGGTTTCCTGTAAAGTTTCACTTGAACCGATTCGGAGACCATGTTGTCGGATTTTCATCCCAAAAATGGATCCCAGGTGACACAAACTTGTGCAATCCCCCGATTTTGGCCCTTAACTCTCAACAGACCATTGGTTTGAGGGAGATTTTCTGGGTCCCAATTTTGCACCCCATCAATGATTTTCATAGGGATTGACAAATGGAACTACCACTTTCCATGGATCGGAACCCATCTTCAATGCAGCCAGGGATCCGGGGAGATTTTTTTTTGGGATCCGAAGCTCGTGGATGGCGGAGCTCTGCCCATCTGCAAGCTTCTGGGCCGAAAAATAAGAGCCGCAGCCGCTGCCTCGGATTTTCAACCGCCGCGGTCCCGAGGTCCCAAGCCGTTCCAAGAACCCATGGAGGGAGCAAAAACATGCAAACACACCAAATGGATCCAAATGGTTCACATACACCTCATTGCACCGCGTTGGCTTCTTGTCTCAGGATGATCAGGATGGTTTGGGGTCAGAGGTTTATCCTCTTGCATTGTTGCAGCGCATTCGCGGGCAGCGGAAAGTCATCCGACTTGTGTCAGGATGTGTGAGGCATCCATGGTAGGTGGAATGTAGAGCTGACAGTTCGATTCAAACACAATCAGGCTATCGATCACCAGGAATGTTCAGCCATGGTTCCACAAGATCCGTTGATCTTTCCGCCAAATGGGCCTGTGTAGAAGTGTGCATGAAGCGGATGCGGAAGATTGGAAAATGATAAAACATGTGCCAACATTGGCGACAGCACCGCGAGAATCGTGGGGTTCACTGCGTCCACTGGGGCATCGGACATGGCTAGCGGCTAGGTGAAGCAGATCCTGCAATCAGCAGCTGCAGCTCAGCAGCGGGATCTTCTCTTCTTGGAGGCCCGGGAGCCTAGATTTGACACTGGAACTATCAAAACTGACCCCTAACCTGCTGGCATTCTGTAGCAATCCTATGGGGAATCCATGGGAATCCTACAGGGTATGCAGTGCCCACACCATCCCACACCGGCCTCTGATTTGAAAACTGCCAGCGAAGGTAAGAAACAACCTGCTCCGAGATGAGCGACTGCAGGCAGCCTCTTGTACTGTGGGATGGTCATGGGATGTCGTTTGGATGTCGTTTGGATGTCATGGGAGGCATTGAGACGCTTCCGGCTGCCGCATTTCAAGAAAGTGGCCAAAGTACTGGCTGTGCACCCAGCAGGGGCAGACTCATGTTTTGAATTGGCTTGAAGGAGGCAGCACAGGTTTTGCATTGTTTTTCAAAATTTAATGGGTTGCTGCCATCCCTGGTAATCAGTAGCTACCAGGTTGGGCAGCCAAATGATGACTACCTCCAGCACCTTCACGAGGAGCTGCTGAAAGAAAAGCAGGACCCGATGTGAGATGAAGATGTTGGATTCATTGCGACGCATGTCCGTGCACTGCAGGAAAAAGTCTTTGCTGAATTCCAGCAAAAACGTCAAGAGCACGCCCAGCTCAAGCTGTTGGGTTCCCAAAGTTCAGATGGCCCCCAGCTTTCCCCACCAGTTGTGCCGAGTTTTTCCATGTTTTGCACCGTCGCTTGTGAGGCTTGAGATGCAAAAGAAGCAGGCCATTCATTTGACATGTTTTTCCAGCACCTGTATACCTGTTCTGATAGCTGATCTGCTATATCCAGGTTGAATGGGCGAGACAAAAAGCTGAATTGGCTCAGAAGCAGGCGGAGGCACGGGACGGCGGCAGCCGGTGTTGTTGCATGAAACCTCTCTAAGCAATTGGAGATGCGGCTTCATTTTTGGATCAATCTCACGTCAATGTGGGCAAACAAATAGGAAACCTACGTACCATTTAAGGGATGGTTTGCATAGTTTGATTTATACCACCCATCTATGGCGATTTTGGGCCATGGCTTATTCTTTGATATAATAAGACATTATTGGGTTTCCTACATTACCCAGATCCCCATCCTTGCTGGGATCGTTTCCCCAGCCACCAGCAGGGGGCTGATGCAGAAGTTCTCAGCTCAGTTGATGAGCAGCGGAGAACATCGCGGGCAGATGGCGGTCACTGAGGCGGCTGCAGAAGAGGTTGCACTGGACCTAGCTGATCAAACTTAATTCAGTTTCAGTCGATGCAGCGTATACTACTATATAAGATATAGTATGGCGTGTAATTCCATATCAAGGTGTGTGTGTATATATATAATATATATATATATATATATGCAATGACAGGTGTTTCTTGCATGATCCTTTTGACATAACATGAGACTGTATGCCTGCCGATAGGGCGGGGCTCGAGCTGTGCGAGGAACAAAGGGTGCCCCACGCATCCGTGTGGCCTACTGTTTGGCCTATCACCTTGACCAATTGCATGGTCAGCGGAGCAGCTGGTTGGGACGTGGAGAACTACCTGTTCGAGCTCTGATGCCAGAGCAAACGGACGTCCCAATATGGGACGGTGACCCCAGCTCGTTTGACTCCTTTGCAACGAGCTGCAAGTGGTATGAACGCTCTCTGAAGGAGAGCGACAGAAAACTTGCAGCGCCCCGCATATGGCAGAAACTCCATGGCGCAGCAAAGTCCGTCGTCAAGAACCTCAAGCCGGAAGACTTCGATGTGACCAACGGAGTTGAGAAGTTGCTGGACGTGCTGAGGGAGTCTCCTTTGCAGAAGCTCCCCATCCCGGACTCGTTCAGCCGCTTAGAACGTTGGTCAGGTCTTCGAAGAGCCCAAGGAGAAGATATACCCCACCTGATCATCCGCGAGGAGGAGCTCTTCACTGAACTACAACGTGGACTCCAACGAGCTCGATACGAGCGTGCAAAGGTGGAACGAAGGTCTATGGGTGTTGGAATCTCTGAGAGAGACCCTTCTGAGTCTCCTTCGAGGTCTCCAGCTGGTGGCATGAGCGGTGTTCGAGCTGGAGAAGAACAACCTGGCGCAACTACATCCATGCCGAGCACCTCACAGACTTCACCTATGGATGCTGCTGGACTTTCCCCTGGAGAAGGCTTCTTCGAGAACGAGATGAGGGGATATCGGTTGCTGAAAGCCGCAAAGCTTACAGCAGCTGAGCGGCAACATGTCATGACGCTCACCAAGAACAGCACCCACTTCAACCTGATCAGACAGGCTGTGAGGAGCCTCTTTGCTGAAGAAGGACAAGATGATGGTGGCCGTCCTAAAAGGACCTGGTATGCTGGAGTTGAAGATGGAGCTGAATGGGAAGATGATGGATCTACGGTCTGGTGGTGCGATGATGATGGCACCTGGTGGGATGAGGAGACCTACTACACCGAATGGCCTTCTTCACCTTCGAGCTCATGGGATGATGGCTATGGCTATGACTACAACGTGGACTATGAATACACCGAGGGCTACTATGACAACGAGGTCTACGAGAAGTCCGCCGAGGAGATCGACGAGGAGAAGCGCATGGAGGAGGCCTTCACCATTGCTGCCGAGGCCAACAAGACGCTGGCTGAAGCGAAAGCTGCTGTGGCAAAGGTGAGAGCCGCCCGGGGTTACTACGACCCTGCTGGAATGAAAGGCCATGCTGGGAAGAAAGGCAAAGCAAAGTCTGGAAAAGCTGGGAAAGGCAAGGGACTACTTGGACCCTGCTTTCCATGTGGGCGACCTGGACATACCTACCAAAATTGCCCTGACCGATGGTCGCCGCAACAGAAAGGCTCCAGCTTTGTGAAAGGCAAGGGCAAGATGGCTATGAAAGGCAAGAAAGGTTCAAAGGGAAAGAAGGCCTACTTCACTGAGTACCTCCCGGCCTACTACATGGAGAACTACGTGCCCGAGATCAACGTGCTGTCCCTGCAGGAGAGCGAGGAGTTGCAATCCATTGCATCAGAGAAGGTGGTGATCGACACTGGTGCCACTGAATCAGTGGCTGGAGTGGCCTCTATGTCAAGGCTGGTTGATGGTGGACGCTTCCAGTACTCCGTGCACCTGGATGACGGACCCCGTTTCCGGTTTGGAAATGGCCAGACGCAGCGTGCTGTGTCGAAGGTGAAGCTGGAATGTCCGGCACTTGGCGATGTTTCCTTTTACCTACTTGATCAAGGAGCTGACAACACACCACCACTACTTGGAGCACGAGATCTACGAGCACGACATGCCTTGGTGTCCTACAAGGGAGACTGGCTGGCGCACAAGACGAAGGACAAATGGTGGGCAAGTTCACTCGAGACCTTGTCGAGTGGACACTTGGCTTTGGATTTACTACAACCTCGAGAACCTCTTCAAGCTCTTCTGAAGCGCTTGCAGAACGACCCCTTCAACGTGTGGCCTGGTCGTGACCGAGATGATCATCATGGAGATGAACACTCATCTCCTGGAGATGATGGAGATGGCGATGGAAACGATCCCCATCGTGGCAACAAGCGTCACAGAGGACGAGTTGGGCCATACAACTTTGGAAGTTTGGTTGGAGCTGCAACCCAGTCGGGTGCCTATGGAGGACCTCGAGAAGATGATCATGGAGAAGAACGACTGCCTGCAAGTGCCTCACCATTTGCCAAGACCGAAGACTTCGGCTCTGCGAGCTTTGTGGAAAGCCCTGATGTTTTGGTGAAAGATGAGCCGAAAGGAAAAGTATGCCCTGGTGGAACCATCGACCTGTCTTCTACGCCGACGTCACCAGAACGTTTGGCTGCTGCAGATGCCCATGTGGAACCGGCATCAGCACCTGTTCATGCAGAGGCGGTGGAAAAAGATGTGGCGCATCAACCTGAAGTTGGTCATCAACCAGTGTTGAATGAGAGCATGCCTGCACATGTACCACATGGAGACACACTTCATGGAGCTGCTGTTGAATCACATGTTCATGCAGAACCCCCACATGGACTTCATGCTCATGGAAATCCCCCTGAAGATTCACGTCCATGTCAACATGTTTTGATGGTTTGGAGAAGTGATGGAAAAGATCAACGGCATGAAACCATGGATGAGCGACTGAGCTGTCTGGCTCAACGCTTACAACAGCTGAAGCAGAGGTCTTCACCTCAGCCCCATGAAATCGGTCCCTCCTGCGGCGGAGTCGGATCCTCGCCAACTGGGATGGCCATGTGGTGGAATGCACAAGGCGGGCAAAGAGAAGTCCAACCAGTACGCAACATGGCAGAGCTGCACACGTTGCGGGTTACGCCTGCGCTATGTGAACAAGACACCCTACCAGGGAGATACCAGAGCTGTTGGACCTCCTATGGACCTTGTGATGGAGGCCCAGCTGGAGTTGCAGAACGACTTCGAGCCCCGGCAGATGACAGAAAAGATCTTCAATGGAAAGCTGATGGAGATCAAGGGCCGACACCTAGTGATGTCTGGTGGACGTGGCCGAATGTCAGTGCAGGTGCGTGCAGACGAGCGCCTGGGCCGCTGGATGATGGGCGAGACAGAGGAGGAAGAGAAGACGGTGACAAAGCCGAAGCCCATGACGAAGGCCAAGGCCAAAGCGGCATCAACGCCGCCACCAAGGGAGTTCTCACCTGCACCAAGGACTCCGGGACAAGGAAGCCGTTCTTCCAGCAAGGAAGATGCGATCCCTCCTGGATCTACAGTGGACAAGCGCAGCCCACAGAAGCCTGTGAAGATCAAGAAGGAGCCGGCCGAGCAATCAGTGCCTGTGACATCACCGCTGACTCCAGCGGGCGCGCAATCAGTGCTGGTGATGGTCGAATCGGACGTGGAGGTGATCAGCAACAGCGAGGAGGACAAGGACAAGGCCGAGAACAAGGGCGATTGAACGCCCTGTGGAATTCCCTGAAGAACCTTCAGGACCGAATCCGTGGAAAGCCAAATTCCGCGGATATGGCCATTTTGGCTGACAAGTGCCCGCAGCAGCTGGAGGCCGCAGAGGGCAATGTGGTTTCTTTTCAACCTACAACTTTGACTTCCACACGACAACCTTCAACTATGAGCCCAATGACAACAAGCACTAAGAAGAATTCAAACAGTACAGAAGTCCCAAAGGACGACAAGAACACCTGTGGCCATTTTGGCCGAATCGAGTCCGAGATGGACGAGATGTTCAACATCACCGAGAAGACGGTGAAGCCTTCATTGGCCAAAAGATTGGCAAAGGCCGCAATGCTGACAACAGCCCTGATGGGACCTATGCGAGAGCTAATTGGAGCTGTGCAGCCCCAGATCGACATCATGGAGATCGCCTGCAGCCCTGAATCAGCCCTCACCCAGGAGTTTGTTGACAACGGCTTCACTGGCATGCGGATCAACTACCTCAATGGTTTTGACCTGGACAGCAAGAAGGGAACCAACCTGCTGGTGAAGGAGATCAAGGAAAAGCATCCGAAGTTGGCATGGGTGTCCATGGTCTGCACCCGCATGTCAAGCTTGCAAAACTTGACACCACGAACTCCTGAACAACAAGATCGCTTCCTCAAGAGGAAGGGCCAAGATCTACGCAGATGTGATGATGTGGTGACAGGACTTGAAGAAGTTCTACCACATGGTGATGATTTGGCTTGGGAATGGCCGAGCTCTGCGGTTGCAGGATGGCGTTCAAGGCCGCTTCAACGACTTCAAAGACTCATCAAGCGCTACAACAGGCAGATCTATTGGATCAACATTGACGGGTGTCAATATGGACTTGAATGGCATGGATGGCCAGTCAAAAAGGCTTGGACAATCCTGACAACAAGCCGCAACTTATGGCTTACCTTGAACAAGAGGTGTGATGGGACCCATGAGCATATTCATTGCAGAGGTCAAATCGCACAAGCTTCTTCGTTTTACCCGCCGAAGATGTGCAAAGACATCTGCAAGGCGATGAAGTTCTCCTGGATGCAGCAGACCGACTCCCTGGAGAACATGGTCGAGCACTACATGCTGGAGATTGACCACAACGTGGAGGAGACCTTCGACCCTGGACTTCATCGACCTCATCAACACCATGATCTACCTCTTCAAGCTCTTCCTGGCCGCCAAGAACAACATCATCGACATCAAGATCCACCTCAACAAGCTCTTCCTGGACATCGAGAACAAGCTCTTCATGGACATCGAGAACAAGCTCTTTATGGACATCGAGAACAAGCTCTTCATGGACCTCAAGAACAAGCTCTTGCACTGAGCCGAACGCGGCTGCAACTTGAGACAGCCCCCACCGGCAAGAAGCTGGAGGCAGTGAAGCAACTTCTTCTACGAGTTCACAGAGCCAGTGGTCACTCTGGGATGTCAAACCTGGTGAGACTTCTCAAAGCACGAGGCGCACCACCATGGGTGTTGGAGTTGGCACAACGACTACGTTGTCCTGAATGTGAAGAAGCAGCAAAGCCGCTACCACGACCTCCTGCGTCTCTTGGAGAAGCACCAGCTATGTTTGAAGTCCTGGGCACTGACGTTTTCGAGTTCGAGATGCCTGAGAAAGAAGGCGAGCGAGCCCAACATGAAGTTGAAGCTCATCCTCTGGCGAGACCGAGCTTCTGGTTTGACCATGATCGACCACATGCAGACCTTCGAGAGCAAGAGAGCCTGGGAGCCAACAACCCAAGACATCATCAAGTCCATGATGAAGTGGCAGATGGTTTACCCTTCACCGAAATGGGTGATGTCAGATGCTGCACGATACTACACCTCTGAAGAGTTCATGGATTACCTCAATCGAGGTGGCGTTGGCTTGACTGTGGCCCCTGCAGAAGCTCACTGGCTGATGGGAAGTGAAGAGTCAGCAATTGGAGTTGCCAAACGGACCGTGCTGAGGCTGATGAAAGAGGAGAGCAAGTTCAGCGTTCCAGACCTCTTCACCCTTGCAGCTGCAGCAATGAACAGCCACGTTGACGCTAGTGGTTTCAGTGCCTACCAATGGGCTTTTGGGTCTGGTGGAGGAGTTTTGGATGATGAGAAATTGCTCCCTGGCATTCAGCCTGGAAAAGCATTTCAAGGTTTGGTGAAAGAGCGAGAACGTGCCAAGATAGCCTTCGAACGTGAGAGGGCGACAGAACGTTTTTCAAAGCTGGCAAACTCTGTGGGCCGACAGGCCTCCCAATACAAGCCTGGTCAGTTGGTGATGGTCTGGCGACAACGGGTCAAACCCGGCAAGATGAAAGGAAGCTGGACTGGACCTGTCAGACTCATTTTGATGGAAGGCACAACAGCTTGGTTGTCTTCGGGATCAACTTTGATCAGAGCCAAAGTGAACCAGATCCGCCCAGTGTCGTCCCGAGAAGAGATGACTTCCATTTTGGAAGGGACAGCAGTTTTCAAAACCCCTGTCTCAGTGGAATCTTTGATGCGGTCTTTTCAAGGACGCTACTACAAAGACATCTCTGGCGACACTCCAAGCGAGGAACTTCAACGTCAAGACCTTGGACCCTCTCAAGTTCTTCAAGAACCTGCTCAACGCCAAGGACAAGACTCTTGGAGTTTGGAGGAAAGAGATGGCAAACGAGTTTTGATACGAAAACATGTTTTACCACGGCTAGCTCTTTTCAACCCTCTTCGAGCAGCCAACTGTCCTATTTCCCTGGATGAAATGACCGGTGAAAGAAAGACCATCGTGAGACCTCTACATGGTGGAGAAGCTGAAATCAACGACACCGTGGACATCCAGAGGAACCTGCAAGACAGATGGACTGGTGAAACAAGGTTTGAGCTGCTACAGCGACCTCTACCACCTCCAAAACGTCAACGAGTTCCTGATCCAAAAGGATCCAAGCGCAAGGCAGAGAAGGAACTATCTGGTGAAGAAGATGTACGTTCTGGAGAACGACCTCAAGCTGAAGTGGATGATGAAGAGAAGGACCCCTTGGATGATCTTCAAGGTGATGATGCTCTTCAACAACCTGCCCAAGATGGAGACGATGGAGCTACACCTTTGACGCAGACGCTACGATCCAAAGGACCCAATGTCCTGGATGGGACCCCCATGACAAGCAGTGCTGGATCGAGCTCTTGCGTTGCTCCTGGTTGTGAACTACCTGGTGGACATCTTGGACATCATCGCAACAACAACAACGAGGAGTTCTTGTATGACCCCTATGATGGTTCTACGAAGATCATTGCCGAGGAGAAGGAGCCTTCTACACCATCTTCGAGCTCTACAAGTTCCGAGGAACTACAACCTGATCTACCTGGACACGATCCCAAGGGCAATGGCAAGAAGAACAAGGATGACTTCTTTGTGGCCGTGCCGATCGACCTGAACACCTCCGACTGGAAGTGGCTAGCAAAACCTCAACATCGACGCAAAGCTGATGTATGGCTTTCGAAGAAGATGAGCGACAAATCAAAGGAGGTGATTTGGCAAAAGCTTCCTCTCAACGAGAAGAAGGAGTACGACATCGCTATGGCTAAGGAGCTATCCAATGTCATCATCTCCAAGGCCCTGAGACGACTTTCCAAAGAGGAGCTCAAGTCCCTGGACCCAAAGAGATTGATGTCAATGAGATGGGTGCTCACCCGCAAAAGCGACGGGTCAGCCAAGGCCAGATTGGTGGTTTTGGGCTTCATGGCGCCGAACATCACCGAGGTGGAATCAGCGTCCCCCACTATGAGCAAGACAAGCCGAAACTTGGTTCTGGCTGTGCCTCATGCATGGGTTTCATTTTGAAAGGAGGCGATGTGACCAGTGCCTTCTTGCAAACTGGAATTTCACTGGAGGACGAGATGCTGGATGTTTGGGCGCCGCCTGAGCTGGCTGCGATGTTTGGTGCTGAAGATGGCGAAGGAATGGCCCTTCGCGTGAGAGAAGCGTTTTATGGGTTAGTCCACGCCCCAAGGAAATGGTTTGAGAAATGTGTGGCAACCTTGGTGCGTCTGGGATGGAAGCAGCTGAAAGGCGATCGATGTGTCTTCATCCTGATGGAGGACGATCAGCTGGTGGCAATAGCTGGACTACATGTGGATGATTTTCTGGTTGCAGGAAGCCAGACCTCACAGAAGTTCCTGGAGAGCGAGCAAGAGCTGCTCAAGGCTTTCCGATGGGGAAAGTGGCAAACTGGTGAGTTTGAGTTCGCTGGCTGCGAGCTGAAACAGCTTCCTGACAACAGCGTCATCCTCTCCCAGGAGAAGTACACCGAGCGCTGGATGGAAGAAATTACCATTGACAAATCAAGGTCTAGAAAGGCCGTCCTGACGCCTGAGGAAACATCTGCACTACGTGGAGCTTTGGGAACTATCTCATGGAGATCAACACAGAGCGCACCACAGTTTCTTGCAGAAACGAGCCTGTTGCTCTCCGAGATCAACAAGGGCACTGTGGAGACCCTCTACAAGGTGAATAAGCTTGTGAGAGAAATGCGCCGTGAGGCGAAGCAAGGTTTGTTGTTCCCAGCATGGGGAATACCATGGAATCAGTTGGCCTGCGTGACCTGGGCCGACGCCAGTCAACACAACAGACCTGACAAGAGCTCTACGGTTGGAATTGTGACCGCCATTGGACCGAAGGAGATGCTGGAATGTGCGGAAGTTCAACTGGCGGTGGTGCAATGGAAGAGTGGCAAAACGCCACGACAGGTTTTAGGCTCAAATTGGAGCTGAGACCCAAGCAATAACCATTGGGGAAGACCAGAACTTTAACATCCGCATGCTGATGGCGGAGATTGGTGGCGCCAACGTGGAAAAGGGCAACATTCATGAAGTTGTCAAGACAGTGGATGGCGCCGTTGTGATGGACTCCCGTGGCATCTATGACGCCATGACCAAGAATGTGAGCCCGCTTCATGGACTCAGAGAGTCGCGAGCTGGCTACGAACTCACCTTGGCGGTGAACAATGGAGTTCAAGCTGGAACGAGATGGAGATGGGTGAATGGATTGGCTCAGCTGGGCGATAGCCTCACAAAAGCTGGAGCCAGAAAGACCTTCCTCCAGTTCCTGTCGCAACGACAATTCTGGCGGTTGGTGGACGATCCCAAGTTCGAATCAGGACGCAAAGTCCACAAGCGTGAGATGGAAAAGAAATTGCGCGAGATGGAAGAGTTCTTCATCAACGAAGTGAGACGCGCTGCCGAGAAGAACAATTGGCCATGGAATGAAGGCCCCATAGAGAAATATCACTCCCTGCAGTGAGTCAAAAGGCTCAGGATGTATGGGTGGTGCAATGACAGGTGTTTCTTGCATGATCCTTTTGACATAACATGAGACTGTATGCCTGCCGATAGGGCGGGGCTCGAGCTGTGCGAGGAACAAAGGGTGCCCCACGCATCCGTGTGGCCTACTGTTTGGCCTATCACCTTGACCAATTGCAATATATATATATATACACAATACATCCAAATTTGATTTGATCCAGTTCCCAAACCCACTCTATCTACATTCGAAATCTAATCAACATCTAACCTGACCCAAACCTATGTAACCCAATCGAACCTGTGCAGCTTCAAAATTTATGCAGACAGATTCGTGGCCCTGAGGTTTTAGGGGAGGAGCCCAAGATAGAGGAGGTCCTCACGGTCCCATTTTGTTTAATGACTTAGTGTTGTGTTTTTTCTCCTTTGGGGGTGCGGAAACAGATCGAAAAATTATGAAATAGCTAAATATCATAGGATAGACAATTTCGCATCAAAAATCCCATGAGTTCGCCTGTCTTCCTGGAGGGGCCCCCTATGGTCTGACTATTACGGCAAATGATGTCCCCACCTGGGTGCAGGACACAGAAGAGCATCCTCCGGCAGTGGAACTCACCGAGGAAGAGAAGAAGTGTTGCTTCAAGAAGCCGGGGCACCGAGGGGTCCGGAAGAGCTCACAGGCATACCGACATGTGACAGGGTGAAAAGTGAAAACATCCAAAAATCATCAAACATATGGCGTATAGGAGCAAAATTGATAGATATGGGCGATATGGGACATAAATGAAGATCAAGTATGGTCAAACTAAGGCCAACTTCTGGTTATCTTTAGGGGGTGTTCCTTCAAAATGGTCAAGGTACCCAGAGAAAAAACAACATCAGGAAAAACAAAAACCCACAAAAGATAAAATGTGAAACAAAAGAGAAACATCAGAAACATCAGGAAAGAAGAGTCAACAAGGTACGAAGAAAACAAAAAAACGCAAGAAGAAACAAAAAAAGGCCAGAAGAAAGAACGAAGAAACGAAGAAAGCGGACCTGGGAGTAGTTGAGACGCCAAGTTCTGCCAGAATGGCTAAAGAAGGCGAAGCCATACCTATAGGGCAACGGGTCCTGCTGCTTGCCTTTTCCTTTTTCTTGATATGCAGGGAGTGGCTTTTGATGATGGCAGGTGCCATTGGGAAAGAAACAGCTTCTTTGGGGTAAAAGCCGTAGCATGTACAATCCATTCCCACAATTTCTGAGGCCAAGTCCGGATGCGACGCTGGACCTCATGGCTTCAGCGCTCAGCGAGGAATCCCAGCCGTGGTCCATAGCAGAATGATGGAGAATGAGAAGCGCCAGGTGGGTTGATGCCAATTTTAAACATTTTTCCGGGAAACGTGGGAATAGGCAATTTATATTCATTTATATTCATTTATAAGATTTTGCTAGTCCAAGACCATACTGGTTTTACACATTTTAAAAGTTTTCAGCTTCAATCTTTTGGCCCAGCTATATCGTGCTATATTTGCTAGAGATTATATAGTGCCAGTGGATGGAGAGAATTGCCTGAGCCATGAAGATCTATGGCATGGCTTGTGCAAGAACTCCGGCAACCTTTTTGACTCCCACGTGTCCGACCCGCTGAGGTAGTAGCTTTGCAAGCTTCACCATCCCCGGCGATGACGAAGGATTCGACGAGGCCAGTGGCATACATCCCAGGGGTTGATAGGGGTTGATATGGCTTGATGATTCAATGATGGTCATAATATGTCATAATGTGGGTAACACAATAATAAACCACCCATTTGTGCATGGTTTTATAGCACCTATAAAAATGGTGATTTGGGGGATGGCTTATGGCATTGTTTTGCCCACATTAATGGCATAAGAATGACACTCGAATCTTCGGACCTGGGTGACCTCCAGGTGGATTTTAGTTGGCAGCCCCGAGAAGCTGTGGAAGACTACGTGCGAAGGCTGCCTGAAGATCGTGTGGGGTGGACTGTGGGCTGAGCAACAGCCATGAGGTGGGTGCAAGAGCACAAAATCACCACGTTGGCATCTGAGACTGGGATCTCCTGGAAAAAGGATGAAAAGAGGATGGGTGTTTATCAGTTTATCTGTTAGGTGAGTTAGGTCCTGATGCTCCAGCAATGTCCAGTTACAACTGTTGCGATCTCGCTGGATAGCGATGCGAAGGGTCCACCTGAGGCGAATTGACGACTTGCAGCCCAGCGAGTGGTTCAGGGAAAAGCGGGGGTTTCTCAGCGGGCTCATGGACCACGGATTTCAAAAAAATGCAAAAAAGGTTTAAGGTTTCAGATGTGCTGGTTTATCCTTATGATTCCCAACCTATACAATTCTATAATATTTACATGTCCTTGTTTGGCACGTGTACATCGTGTACCAGTAGTAACCCCAACTGACCAATGCGAATTCGTATGGCTTTGCGGCAGCCGGTAGCCCGGTAGCCCTCCACGATGGCCTCCTCCTGGGTTCGCCAAGGTGGCAGAGGTGGCGGGATGACCTGCAGCGTTGGCACGTGAGCGGCACAGCCAGAGCCGAATGCTTTGGGGCCTTGGGGTTGGAATTACGAAACGGCTCCCACGCTGATTTGATTAAACACTTGATGGGTCACACATTCTGGAGGTGTTGCACATTGAGTTCAAGGACCGCTGGGACCGCTGGTACCGCTGGTTGCGTAGCTTAGTCGCCATGGCCTGCGCCGCACGATGTCACCACCACCGCTGGCATCATGGCTTTTTTGATCTCAAACTCCGAGCGTCCACTGGAGGAAGCCACAGGGCCACCACTCAGACTCAGTACATCAAGGCACATTACAGTGCCTTATCAAGTAAGTACCACATCGCAAGATCAAGTATATCAATAAGCTACAATTGATAAATCACTTGAGGTCAGTTATTGATCAATCAATATTCATCATGGTTCATCTAATATCAACCTATCTTTGGCATCTCTGGCTAATCTTAAACTAGTGCTAGGTATAGACATCATTGCTGGATCACATCGATGCCATGGCCACATCCTTCGTGCCCGAAGTGACGCCACTGGCGCTTCACAAGGCCGCCCAGGTGACTCAGGCGAAGGCAGCCTCGGGACCCAGGCAGGGGGGTGGATGAAGATGAGGATATTTCATGTTTTTTGGGGGGAAAAATGGCATGTAGCCTCTGGTAAACTAGCAGTTTGCTATGGAGCACGAGCCATTGGTAAACCAAGAGTTTGCTATGACATGACCCATTTGTAGTTGATTTACCTATTTGGATGGTGATTTTTCATGGTATGTTGGCTTACGAGAGGGTAATCTATCAAGTGGTTAGGAGGGAGCCAAGGAGGTACCCATATTCCCTGTGAATGGGGAGCTAAGGAGCTGCTAACCACATGATAGTATTTAATGGTGATGTTTTATACCATTTCATGAGGATAGAGTGAGATATTCTATGGGATATACGTGGCAGACAGGAGCAAACATACCAACAATATGATAAGATGGGATAGTCCCAAAATGGGGAATTCTGGCGTTTTCCCACAATTTTCAGACAAAACCATGTTTTGGAAGATGTTTGGCATGAAAGATTGGGATGAAGGGAGGATGCACGCTGCATATCTCTAATTGATGCATATTGATGCCTGAAGATCTTTATTCACATTGTCATGACAATACACATAGAAGATCATAGAAGCCTCTTGACAGAAGACACATCAGATGCAGGTCGAGCATTTGGAGCGCAGGCTCTTCCCATGCTGCATGGGCAGCTTCTGTGGCTGCTCTGGCAGCCTCATTTGTGAAGAACTCAGTGGTGAGATGGTCAGGTCACATCGTTTTCACAGGGCTTGACACATGCAAACCTCACAAATAACTCCCAAAAACTCCCGGGTCCGGCAGAATGAAACAGGTGCAGATAGGATCCTGGTTCCACATCCAGATGCAGCATACACACCGAGGCTGCTTGGCGGTGACAAAAACTCTTCACCACTGAGGCTTCTCAGACACCTGAGCGACGGCCACGCATTGTGCGACAAGCCAAAGGCTTTGCCACCGCAGTCGGGCCCCCCAAGGGATGACAGTGGATGACAGATGACAGTTGAGAGATCACAGGAGCATTTGCACCAAAATTTGGGACACCCTCAAGACACACAATCCAAATCATTCCAAATCCATTATTCTAATCCATTCTATGTTTTCTCCTTACATCTATACATTATATCATATTATATATATATATCATTATCTCTATATAAAACACATCCATGCACTGCGGATTTTTTTCTGTTACCTGCAGGAGTTAAAAATGCAGTGGAAACCATCGTGCCGGCCCCGCTTCAGGAATGGATGGAAGAAACCACTGAAGAGGCCGGCGGTGCCAGCACTTCCTCCAGGACTTTGACGAAGAGCTGGGATCTGAGAATCTGAGTTGCAGCCTTCGTGGGGTTTCGTTAGGTAGTAGAACTCCAATGGGAATTACTGCGCTGGAATCCTGGTTTGCTAATGATATCTAATGAAATCTATTAGTCTAAGTCTATTTTCTATATATATATATATGAATGGCAATTGACCACATGGTTTAATGGGAGAAGCTCGCGGGTCACAGACCTCTGACAGCCAAGGCCGTTCCTCTTCGGCGCTATCATTATCTGACGGAAGGAGCCACTTCAGTATTATCCTGATTTAGTCCCACGTAGTAGTACGGCGCAATTTATGTTTTTGGTAGGGCCACATTTGGACAGGAAACGTGTCTTTGACAAAGATGTGCTTCAAAGTCCGTCTGGAGAGATTTTGAGCGATGGCGCTGCTTGGTGAGCAACGGCCCATGGTATTTCCTGGTATTTCATGGGGTTTCGTGGCGTTTCATGGGGTTTCATATGGTGTTTCATATGGTTTGAACCTTGGCCTTGGCCTGTCCTTCCGAGGATGCTCCGGAACCTGAGGGTGCCAAGGAGCTCTACGACTGGATGCGAGACCGAGGCTGCACAGGCCAGGCTGAGGCATGCGAACGCAACCATCGCTGGCTCGGATCAAAGAAAGAACCGCGCAAAAACCGTTGAAGATGTGTTGTTTGATCGCAGAACGGCACATCTTACTACCATTGACATAACCATATCTTACCATATCTTACCCAGGGGTGTTGGACTTCATTCTTCGTTAACTTTAGAAATTCCTTGGAAACTCCTTCGCCACAGGCCTCGCAGATGTGCAGCTGCTGCTGGGGGGCGGCGTGGCCCTGCGGCGAAAGTGCCAATGTGGTCAGGTCAAGGAAGGGCAGGACGCTGGGCTGGTCCAGTCGTAACCCCCCAAAAATCTCAAAAGATACTCAAACGATACTCAACTGGGATAACTGGCATAATTAATCGAAGATGGGCAGAAAGTGAAAGAAGATGAAAGAAGAACATTCACCTGATGGGATCTGAGATGCGTTTTGCATATTTTTGACCTTGATCGACATGAGGCGGTGGTCTTTTTTTTTTGCATGTCTAGCACCAGCCAAGCTGTTCATGTGTTCGATATGGACATTTTGGACAGGGGTTGCAAAAAATGTGATTCCATGTCGAGAAACCCCAACTATCTTCACAAGTGATACATCAGAACAGCAGACCTAGGGACAATCCGTGCGATAAGAAGCAGCCGCAGCATGCCGCAGCCAAGATATGCCAAGATATTGGAGACACCTTCAAAAAGGTCTTCAAACCTGGCAGTGCAGAGGAGCTTTTCTCCATTCCAAAAGCTGCATGGCTTGTTGCAGATCAGGCTGGGCAGCCCAGATGCTCCAAGATACTCATTTTTTTAATCCAAGATAACCCAAGGATTTAGAGGATTTGAAAGGCCACTTTGGACGAAGACCAAAGATGGCAAGGCGCGAATCACTCGAGTCTGCCGGTCTATTAGACACATACCAAACTTTACCAAAACACATCCTACACAACTTCATTGTTTGAGCAAAACCGAGCACATTTTCCATCATTTTCCCGGTGCTTTTCAGGATCCCTGCTCTGTGGAAGCCTTAGCCTGGAAGTTGTTGCGGGAGCTGTGGGAGGAGCCCTGGGCTTGATGTGTATCTCATATAGATTCATAATCTATTAATATAGTAAATATATGTAAATATGCGTATAACATCGCTGTACAACTATATAACTGTATGCAAATATACAATTGTTTAGATATAAAAATAACATCACATCGCCTTCAGCTCTGCTGGACCCTTGGGATGGCGACGGAGAGAAAGAGAGAGATGCATACACGCACATACATATATAAATATAGGTAATCACATCAGTAAGAATAACATAGAAAAGAATAGTTAGAAAGAACTAATTACTATTTTTGTTCAATTGTTACAGGCATGCATATGGAAATATCTATTCACATGTCTTATTGGTTTAAACATGAGGATTGTGGCTTTAGAACGAATATTTTTTGCATTTCACAAGAGTTTAAGACGCCATTACGAAGGGCTAGCGACTATCACTTGATATGAGTTTAATTGGTTGGCCACCAATCAGATCAGGTAACCCAGGTAGGTGAATCTTTTGATGACCTGAAACTGTTTGTCATGGTTTGCTGAGCGGCAGGAGGACTCCAGCTTCGCACCCTTTGCTGCTGGGATCGGTGAGTTGTGGCCTGTTGATCCGTCCATGTTCAGCGCTGTCTGGATTGGAGGAAATTAGATCACTCCTGTTGAACAATCCTCCAATGTGTCGCATCTGAGGTCAATCATTTGCATCGTCAGGACTTGTCCTCACACCCCATCTTTTGGGAGGAGCTGTGCTCACAAACTTCTTCTTCCGATGCACCGGTGGAGAGGGTTTCATTTTATGTTCATCCGGTTGGTGCACAGATTGGACAGAGAATTTCCCCAAAAAGCCGTGAGCCCGGGCATCATATCAATTTATCTTACACACACAACACACATAACACACATAACACACACTCTATATAATTTAATCATTTGATTTGATTTGGTCCAAGGATCCAAGGTAGGGAAAGTCTGCCAGGAGGATGAGGTGGCATGGCTGAGACCCAGTCTGGAAGGCTTCGAATCTGCAGCTTGGACCAAGATTCGAAGGCTTGGTGGCCATGGTCCGAAATCACCATGACCCTCTGGTAATAACAATTACCATCTGGGAATCATTCAATGGCAATATCTGGCAATAGAAAATCTCAACCTCACAATGATTCATAGGTTGTTTTGCTGGTATTTCATGTTATTTCCAGGTATTTCCCACAAAAACCCTGATGATTTTCCCTGGCGTTGCCGAAGGGGACGGTCACACAGCTTTGAGGTCGTGCAGCTCCGAGCCAGAAGCGAGGACATATTTGGATTTGGGCCATAGACCCACAAGAAATTGCTGGTTACTGAGTACCCTATGGTAAACTGTCCCATAGCTATGGAAAATCACCATTTTCAATGGGTAAATCCACTATAAATGGTCATTTTCAATAGCTATGTTAGTTTACCAGAGGGTACTTACTGTATCCAGCCATGATTTGTGGGGTTCAGCTGTGTTAGGAGCCATTGCCAAGTATCACATGTGATGAATTCTCCGTGCTTGGGCAATCGGATGGGCCATGTGACCTCGATCTTGCAGGAACGTGTGGCGCGGCTCCTTGCAAGGGTGGCTGCAGAGGCGCAAATTTAGAAACTCTTCACCCTTTCCATGTTCAGGCTCAAAATCAGGCTGATGCCGGGTTTCCACCAATCCCTTGAACCAATTGAACCCATGGAGGGCTCAAAATTATTCGATCAGCAGGGCCGGTGGGGTGAACCAGGTGCCTGCAGTGTCCCAGCGCTTTGAAGGGAATGAAGAGGCGAGACAAGCAGCTGCCACATGCTGCTACCTCTGATTACAGCATGCATCGGATATATAGTTGTTCTATAACGAAAGGAATAATGCACTGGTTGGTTTCAGGCAGTTTAATATACAGTAAAAGATGCTCATAGATGCTCAATCATTTTGCAACTTTCAGGTTTTTGATGGATTGAACCACCAACCCGAACATCTTGTGGCTCAGTTGGCCATGGGCAATCATGCTTGTATCATTATATATATATATGTATATATATATATTATATATGTACAACACACATCTTTTGCTAGAGTGAGGGAATGTCTTACTCAAAAATCTTTGTATCTGAGGTTTAAGTGATGCGGCTCCTGTCAAACATGAATACAATATTTATCATCATCGTCGTCGTCGTCGTCCTCATCCTCATCCTCATCCTCATCCTCCTCATCATCATCATCATCATCATCCTCATCCTCATCCTCATCCTCATCATCGTGATAGGAATTTCATAGAATTTCATCTTCAAATAGGTTTGTCGAAAAATCAGGGCTCCTACAAATCCAATGGTTTACTATCATTGTGCCACCTAAAATACGCAATTTTGAAGTAAACACAATGTTAAGACACATCCAACTATCATATTTCTGATAAATCCCATTAATGATATTCCATTATATCCCACTATATCCCCATTAAATCATAAAACAGTCACTGGTCAAATCTTCATCTTGATTATGAACATATGAAACCATCATTAAACCATCATTCTTCACCAGTGATGCCAGGCTTTAGTGCGCGAGCTTCGTTGGGCCCTAGCCACAGTGGAGGTCAAGAGCTTCGAAGCCGAGGAGCGGCTTTTTGCGCCCGGGATTTAACCATCAAAAATCCATGGCGAAAAATGGTGGTATCATGGCGATTTAACCACCAATGGTGGTATCATAAAATCATGATTTTAAATACTCATTAGTTGATTATTAGTTGATGCTTCAATGATTTTATTATTCCATCAACTAATGGTGACTTTAATGGAATTCAACCTTCAAAAGATGGTGTTTGAGTTTCAGCAGTCGTGGGGATCGGGATATGGCAGGTACTGTTTGATGGCAATCAACCATGGCTGAGAAATCCCATCATCGAATTAAACGGGCAATTTTCCATTGCCATGCAGTATAACCGTATTGGGAATATCATGGAGATTTTACAAATTGATTGCCAAGAATGACGTGCCTTATCAATGGGTTGATTTAAGGGAACATCTGCAAGAAAGCACCATCAAATATAGGATTATGCCGTAGAATTTCTCTTAAACCAATCCTGGGAGTTTGAAAGTTTACCATGAAACAGCGTCGGGGTATCCCAAAAACTGATGGGAACTGATGATTTCTCAGCAAATTGGGTTACCCCAAAACAATGGTCAGCACTTGTGCTGTGTGCCGGAAGCCTCATTTTTGGTGACCTTCACAGTACTTCGTGGCCTTCCACTATGTTGGGATGTTATAACATGTTATAACTTGATGTCCCTGGGTTTGCGAACCCAGGGACGTGTTTGATGACCCTTTGCGGGAATCTGGTTTTCAGCACTTTCGACATAAACCCTTTGTACAAAAACCTAGAAAAACCATAGGATAAACCCCACATTAACCCTAAGATACCCTAAAGAAACCCTAAAGAAATTCTAAATGTACTGAACCCTAAAGAAAACTTGAAAAAACGTATGAAAGTGTATATAGTGAAGTACTTATGGGGCGTAGCGCACGTGCTGCGGGCAAAACAAGTGGTCTCCCGTTGAAGCTAAGAAAATGGGAACCACCTCCAAAAGAAATTAGCTAAAACTGGCTCTGATCCAAAAAAGGCAAATACGACCTAAACAAATAGGAACCCAAGAACAAAAGGGGTTGGCAAATGTTCCATTTTGGAGACTTTGTAAGCTCCAAATCATGGTTGACCAATTTCCCTTGAACATCCGTGCTGAACTAAGTGTCAGACAAACACTCCAGGGCAAGACATAGGCTTTATTTGGCAGGGATCACTAAGTGATCCGCTCTGGCATTAAAACCATGTCAGACTTTACAGCACTATGATCCATTTGCAGGAAATCATTTGCTTTTAAAGGAACATAACCGGGAGGTTTTCCAGACAGTAAGCCAGGGATATTGGGGGCAGTTGAGCAAACAGCTTCGTCACTGCAGAGGATGAAGGACAAGCCTTGATTGCGTAGCTCGTCTCAGGGCAAGCGCTGTGGGTATCCAATCCAGAAGCAGGGCCTTTAGCCAAGTATTTTTCATATGAGGGTGATGTGATTTTTCTGTTGTTATTTATGGAATATTTTCCACTTCTTAGGGGGGTTAAAGGATGTTAAAGGTAGGTAAAACGTCACTTGTAGGTTGTTAGTGAAAGAAGAGGGTGATGTTGATGTTAGGTGTACCGAAGCCTCTGGGTCTTCAACCGAGGCTGTGCCCCTTCCTGGGTGATCTTCATGTCATCGCAGCAGGATCCGACGTGGTGCACGGATCTTAGTTGGGGACCACCAGTGCGGTTGCCGTGGCGGTTGCCCTTGGCCGTGACCAGCTGTGAACTCAGGGGCTTTGAGAAGGAGGGCGACAGGTGCCCCATGGGTTGCCCCATGTTGCCACAGATTGAGATTCACGTTGAGATTCAGGTTGAACAAGAGATATAATTGTAGACCGTTCGTTGTGGAAGTGAATATGCATCGGTGCATCAGTATCTAATATTATCTAATCACACACACACACACACATGCACAAGAATCATGTGCATATATAATTATATGTATATATGTATATATATATATGGTCCCGTCCTCCGTCTCTCCACCCCCCCCCCCCCCATGGGTTGGGTCCCCAGGTAGTAGCCCCAATTCCCTTCTATTTGCAAGCTATTGGCAGCATTTCTGAGGTCCAGCGTCGTATTTGCTAGTCTTTGCAGCATTTCTGACTACCAGCCTCGCATTTACTAGGTACATGCTACCTTTTAGGCGACCTACGTAGCACACATACTCCTTCAAAGTACCTACGTGCTACCTATAGTCATACATACATGTGCTATGTATCTACTGTATCTACTTCCTGTTTACTACCTGTGTACTCTGACAACACTACCTCTGTTGAACATATACCGTACCTACCATACATGTCAATGATGCCATGCATACCATACCTATCATATCTATCATACATACCATACATACCATACATATGAAATGTAATTACCACACCTACCATACATACAATAGCATACATACAATAGCAAGCATACATGCCATACATACCATACCTACCTTAGATAGGACATATTCCATACCCATCATAGTAACCATACATACCATACAGACCATACATACTGTCATATCAAACATACCATATCCAACAGACTTACATACCATACCTACCATCCATACAATACCAACCACTCATGCCATACATACCATACCTACCATACATACCAAACATACCATACTTTCCAAACATGCCATACCAGACCGACCATACACACCATACATACCCACCATACCATACCACACCCCCACCACACCACAGGGGGGGGAGGGGGACAGTGCCACACCCCCACCACACCACAGGGGGGGGAGGGGGAAGATCTCATATGGGACCAGTATATGGGACCCATCCACCACACCACAGGGGGGGGAGGGGGACAGTGCCACACCCCCACCACACCACAGGGGGGGGAGGGGGAAGATCTCATATGGGACCAGTATATGGGACCCATCCACCACACCACAGGGGGGGGAGGGGGACAGTGCCACACCCCCACCACACCACAGGGGGGGAGGGGGAAGATCTCATATGGGACCAGTATATGGGACCCATCCCATATGGGGGGGGGAGGGGGGGGGGGTGGCAGGGCCTGGTGCATATATATATATATATATTTGTGTAACTGTACAATGGATGTGGATGTGGGTGCGAATATATATATATATATATATATATTATAGAGTCTGCGTATGCATCCTGCTACCCAAGTGAGACAAGTGCACGAGTTTTGCATTACCAGACATCTTTATTAGCATCATGCCACCTTCGCAGCTTTTGCCCAGAGCGAATGTGCTGGGCTGGCACTCGGCAAGTGGCTTGAGCAGAACTTGTGGCTCCAGCTACAGTTCCCCTCGCGCTGTGAGTGATCAGATAGGACGAGGGGGTCTTCAGATGTCAGCGCATCTGCGATCGCAGCAGGCATCAAGTGCTAGCAGTTGGAGTATCGTCGGATAAGTGCTGAACATCCTGAACCCCCAAGAATCCCAATAAACATAATGACTCATGATGACTTATGCCTATGCCACTCCGAACAACAGTACAACAGTTTGGCTTTCTTGTTCAACCCACCTCCGAAGTGAGTGGATCTTGGCAAAGAACCGTTGATCTAGCATGACCATCCTGGTGGAGTTAGCAGCGGCAGCAGTTGCGGGGTTGGTCATTGCACCTTGCATGCGATTTGGATTGGACGTTGTGATGTGCATCTGGACATGGGATGATAATGGATGATATAGGTTTGTGCGAAAACATGGCACTATATGATCTATATGGCACTCGCTCATTGATACCATTTGATTGGGGAAAATCATGATATTCCAGCGGTTTCTGGGGTCCCATCTTCAGACCCATGACCCATATGCTTTGATGTAAGGCTTTTGAACATGGTATTTGGCCCAGGCGCTGGTTACGGCCATTGTGGAAAGACTGGGCCCAGTGATTGGTGGAGTGCTGGGCTGCGTTCCCCATGTGGCAGTGGTTGGGAGCATCGGCTTCATCTTGCAGACAGCTTCATCCGATGAGTTCAGAATAGCCATGCTGTCCATGCCCTTGGGCATGTTGTGCAACAGTTTCTTGTCGAAGGGATGCCAGTGATGCCAGGGCAGTCTGAGAGATCACTAAGCTAAGCTTCATGACGTTCATGTGGCTTTGATGGGTGATTCTTACGGGTCGCACAGGCTCCTTTCCAACATGCTCCATGGCTCCTGCAATTGTGGAGCCTGAGGTTTCTTTTTCTTGGGCGTTCGGATTGCATCTCTTCTTCCAAATTGCGACGCTAAAGCTCCAATGGGAAGACTGGTACTTTGCCTCGTATGTGGAGCTTTGGGTCACTTGGTAGCAAGCCAGGGGGAGCTATGCCATGATTTGTAGCCTCCTTGCGTTTACAGGCATACAAGACCGTACACAAAGCGAGAGAAAGAGAGAGAGAGAGAGACACGCACACACACGTCATTAAGACACAACTATTAGAACTGCGCAATAATATATATATATATATAATACCGGTATGAGTTTCCTCTAGGAGTTCAGGGGGGTCAACCCCCCTAAGAAGGACTGATTTTCTGGCACAAAAATTCTTCGATTTTGATGAAAGGCTGCTTTTATCAACCCCCTCATTTTCTAAAGAACAGTTTTTGGAGACCTCTGAGTCGGGAGACCCTGATTTTCGGGAAAGGAAATGGAGCCCCGGAATTTCCTGCTGAACAATTCAGCATGCTAAGGGGTTGGTGGGTGGATTGCTTGCCATGGGTGCCATTTTGGCTCAAGTGCCCTGGCAAGCGTCCACCCATTGTTTTGTTTTGGCATTCATGGGTGGCCTCGCGCATGGCCTGGCCTTCGGAGCTAGCGCCATTTTCGTCGCTGCGTGCTTGCAGGGCATTCTATGGGGTGGAGGACCCGGTTTGGGATGCCTTCATCAGAGCTGCCGGCGATCCGGGGGACGACTACCGGTTGTTGGCAGCTTTGCCTCCAGCCGCCCTCGCGGCCACGACCGAGGCGGCAACGATGGTTTCAGGGGAACACCTCACTGTAGTCCAGGCCGCACAGGTGGGATTGGTGTACCGTCTTGCGAGGCGGAAGTTGCACGTGGAGGCGGGATTGGACATCAGGTTGTGGGTGGACCCGGACCCATGGGCAGACGCCCCAACGGCGACACCACCGACCATGGAGCCCACGGACACGTCGAAGGCTTTGGTGGAGAGGAAGATGAAATTTTCAGCAGTGCTGGACCAGGGGGACGAGTCGGAGTTCGTCATCTCCTCGGAGGAGCAAAAGCAGCGCTGGCTGGAGAACTTTGTACGCCAGACTGGTGGACTCCCGCTGGAACAGGAAGAACCCTCCACCGAGCAGATATCTGCCTTGCTGAGGAGGGTGAATTCAGGTGGAGCCCCCTACGCAGACTTCTCGGTGTGGCTGCCCTACGGCAAGAAGGCTCACAGGACTCAGAAGTACCGGTCCTACATACCGGTGATGGGGGGCTACATCACGAAGGAGATCCCTGGCCCAGGGTCATTCGACCAGTGGAGAGCCAGCTTCAGGGTCTACAGGACGGCAATGCTCATGCTCGACATCCTGACGATGGCTACGTGCGTGGCGTACGAGGCCCATGTGGAGAAGCTGGACCGACTTTACCCAGGGGCCTGGCACCTCATCGTGGCGGCGGACGACCTTGGGAGATCAGAGCACCTGGTAAGACTGAGGGTCTCAGTGAACCTGGACATCGCCAACGGCACGAAGGAACCAATGGGATGGGCAGCAGAAAACCCTTGGGAGTGCCTATTCAGGATGCTCGTGAAGGACAGCTCGTTCTGGGCGGAGCAGGTTCATGTGCCAGCGAATGCATGGCGGGCGCACGGATCCAAAGGAAAGCCGCTGACGCCGGCGGAAGCGGTCGCTGCAGCCTCAATTCAAGGAGGCATCAATGCGATCAAGCCGGACACGGAATCCACGGCGGGGACACCATCTTCGACACGAAGGACAAGGAACGCCAGGAGAAGAGAGGCGTCCAAACGGAAACAAACAGAAGCCGAAGGCCCGACAGACGCCAAGAAGATCAAAGGCGACGGGAAGGGCAAAGGCAAAGGGAAAGAAAAGCCACAGGCATGCTACGCCTGGAACAACAACAATGGGGCCTGTGCTGGCTTACCACCAGGTGCCGCCTGCCAAGGAAGGGTGGCAAGGGCGCACGTATGCACCAAGTGCGGCTCTGTGGGACACCCTTCATGTCAATGCCCTCAGAAGGACGGTTGATCGCCCAGCTGCAGATGGACTGGTTTTGCAGGACCCCCACAACAAGACGAAGGTCGGACATGGGAGACGATGCCAACAGGACTTCATGGTACCCACCACTCTGGATGTGGGCAGGCTCGAACGCCGACCGCCGGGGAAGAGAAAGGCGGGACAGCCGCAGCGGGGACAAAGACAAGGCCGGCGAAGAGAGGTCAAGATCCAGGAGGCGTCGAAGGCAGCACAACGAAGACAAAGCCGAGTTCAACGGAAAGCTCATGACGTTGGACATCTACCTGATGAAACGCAGGTTCTTCTTCCTGCACCTTTACTCAGGTCCCCATGACCCCTTGGGCACTACGTTGGAGAGGCTCGCAAAGAGGTGCAAGATGAAGGTCACGGTGGAAAGCTATGACCGGGAAAATGGAGGAGCCGATCTACTGGCAGACCAACCCTATGCGAAGCTCCTCCAACAAGCCCGTGAGGGCAAGTGGGACGGGTACCACGCAGGGTTCCCATGTACCTCCTTCTCGAGATTGAGGTGGGGCTATCCAGGTCCATGCCGCTCCAGGTCACACCCTTATGGGA